TTTCCCCATCTGCAGTGGTAGGATTTAAACTCATGCTTTTAGAGTTTAGTCCAGCTGTGGGACCAGTAATATTACCTCAATGCTATAGTTCCTTATTGCCCTAAAGGCGGCAAGTGTCTTTATGGACAATACTTTGTCCATGTGATCTCACAGACAGGTTTTGATCTTGTGATGCAGGGGAAACAGAGAGGAATCTGATTTGAGTCCCCGGGTCTTTTATACCTTACTCTTCCTATAGTATTACATTGCTGTGGGAAGGCTAAGTGCCAGAAAGTGTTTTATGATCAATCGCTGGATTGACTGACTAGCTTTTCTCTGCCTAACAGTTTTACCTGTTAAAGGCCACTTCAGCCCCTACAGTTCCTCAGAGATATCTTCAAACTGGTGCAGCACTGAAAGGAGACATTTTGCCTATCGTAATCATGCTGGCTTCAAGAACTACTTGGTAAAGCCTACACCCCTTCTTCCATATCCAAATAGTTGATATTATCCCCCTTTTCAGGTTTGTATAGGAACCCCGTGGAAAGTTGCTGCTGAATGTTGCTTCCAACATCCTTTCAAATAGTGTTCCAGAACATCACAACTTGCTGAACAAAATTGTATTCTTTTTTCGACAATCTTAAATCCGTGCCCTCTGGTTACTGACCCTTCTGCCACTGAAACTGATTCCCTTTATTTACCCCATCAAATACCCGTCAGGTCCTGATTCTCACTAATTTACCCAGAGCACAACACCTCTGTTCACTGTAAATCATACCACCCTTACCAATAACAACAATCTGCATTTATAAGACTCATTTAAAATAGTAAAATGTCCTAAATGTTTACAGCAACGTTAGCAAACAAAACTTAACATTTAAAGACACAGGTGATCAAAACTTGGTCTAAAAGTTAAGTTTGAAAGAGCATCTTAAAGGAGGAGTAAGAGAATGAGGGCGGTTTGGGGAGGATAGGGCTTGGGCAGCTAAGGCACACGCCAATCAGTGCTAGCACTGTGACAAGTTGCACAATGCACAACGCATTGCATCCGTTATCTTTATTGCAATTCATCACATTCAATATCTGTGCAAATTAGGTTGTACAGGGACAAATACCTCATAGCCACAATAATGTCATTGAGGACTTAATAAAAGTTTAGGATTTCTTTCTTTAAATAAAAACAAACAGATGAAATGTTTCTATGATAAGCTTGGTTGACTTAGGATGTGCATGCTTATCAACTAACATAGCTCTGTGCAAACAGGAATTTAAATGTACAACTGTAGATCAGACAAGAAATACCACAGTTGGCACTTTGGGTATGGCGGACAATGTATCAATGGGTTATGGAGCCTGTAACAATAGTGACTCCAATGTATAAAGTAGCCTGTAATTTGTGTCAAGATGGATGGTGTGGGCAATGTACCTTTAGTTAATTAGAAATTATGCCCAGATATTTGGAATTGAAGTATGGAATGTATTGTGATGGAAGCGAATCATATTACAGAAAGCTGACTAGTTATGTGTGGTAATGTTATTTTCCAATGCGTGCCCCCACCTGCCACATTTGTGGATGGGGTAAATGTGAATTTGGCTGATGTGGAACTGAGGCAGTGAGTTAAAGGAGACAGGGTGGTTGGAAAGGAAGTGGGTGGAGCATGAAATTAGCTTGGTCAATACTCCAGGACTTCCGTCAGCTGTAGTTCCGGACATTAAACATAGTTACGATATTCCACCAACAAAAGCTCAGGGATGAATACATCTCTGGAATAGGACCATATGACTTGGGGGGGTTTAGGTTATTTGGTCCATCAAACCTGGTCCATCATTTAATAAGATTGCAGGCGATCCGGTTGTGGTTTCTATCCCACTTTCATTTTTGTCCTCATGACCCTTGACTCCTTTATCTAGCAAAGATCCATGTAACTCTGCCTTATATAAATTCAATGACATAACTTTCACTATTTTCTGGGGACGATAATTCTATAGATTAACAACTCTCTGAGACAAAAAAGAACTCATTTACATCTAAAAGGGATCTTTTATTCATAAACTGTACCTCATATTTCTGGTGTCCCCCACAAGAAGAGTCATTTTACAATATCCATCCTGTCAAGTCTCCTCAGAATTTTGTATATGTATCAGTAATTAAATCCAATAGGTACAGGTTCAGCCCATCTAACATCTCCTTATTGGATAATCACTTCGCTCTATGGATGAGTGGAGTTGTACACACTTGCTGTTTGTAATTAACCAATTTAATCCAGGATTAAAATGATATGGAGGATAAAAGGGTTACGAGCACAGAGATGAAGGTGTAGTGGTAATGCCACTGAACTCATAAACCAGATTAATGCTCTGGAGGCATAGCTTCAAATCCCACTACGGCAGCTGGTAGAATTCTTCTTTTAGGGAAAAAAAGGAGCTCTTATGATGCGGTGGTAGTGTCCCTACCTCTGGCCAAGAGACCCAGGCTCCTGCCCTACAGATGTGTCAAAGAAGTTGATTAAAAATAACTAAAAGGGTTATAGAACATTACAGCACAGTACAGGCCCTTTGGCCCTCGATGTTGCGCCGACCTGTGAAACCAATCTGAAGCCCATCTAACCTAAACTATTCCATTATCATCCATATGTTTATCCAATGACCATTTAAATACCTTTAAAGTTGGCGAGTCTACTACTGTTGCAGGTAGGGCATTCCACGCCCTTACTACTCTCTGAGTAAAGAACCTACCTCTGACAGTTATGAGGCCAGTTTACACAGGCAAGGTTATCATCAATCTAATAGACATGTTTAAGATGACTAAAAGGATTGATAAAATAAAATCAGAAAAACAAATGTGAGCTAGGCCTTTCAACAGTAATACCAGGAAGCACTTCTTTACAGAAAGGATACTGGAAATTCGGAATTTGCTCTCCCAAAAGTTGTTGCCGTGAGGGGTTGTGTGCAAGAACGGAGCATGAAAGATTGTTGTTAGAAAAGGGTTTGAAGGTTACAGACACAAAGTGGGTATGGATGAAGTGAAGACACTCATCAGCCATGATCTTACTGAAATAGTAGAACAGGCTCAAAGGGCTGAATGGCCCACTCTTCTTCCTATTTCTGCAGTAGAAACCATTAAGAATAAAGGACTGAGAGGGAGAAGGAACAAAGCAAACCAGATGGATTCTGACTCTTAATCAGTAACCAGTGCTCTCTGCTGTGTAGGAGACACTTATTAAAATACACTGTGTGCTTGGCTGATAAAGTGACGCGATGTCGGATACTGCACACACAAGAAATAGTCAAAGGCGGGTTTTCCTTGTGTCCATGACACATACACAGACAAAACAAGAACTGCACTATGTCTTTACTGGATGCTTTCCTGTTGTAAGCAAGTGACGGCAAGAGCAAAATAAGATATCCCGAGGAAAAAGGTCACTTTCCTGTCATTTCCTTTGCTGGTCACAGCTGTGATTGTTTTCTATTCAAAAGCCTTTTTAGCAAGTGGGGAGGAATAGATGGTGTAGCTGTGGCTGGTATTTCAGATAGAGGTAGCATGGTGGACTTCAAATGTCTCATGGGGCTGTTTGATGAAAAACAATAGTTTTTCCACATTTCCATCAATACTCAACTCTCAAACCAACACAACCATTAAAGATTATTTGGTAATTTATCTCATTTGCTGCTCGCAAATTGGTTGCTCTTGTGCCTGCAAAATAACAGTGACAACATTTAAAAAGGAACTTATTGACAGTGAAACGCTTTGGGATGTTCTCAGAACTTGAAAGATGTAACAGCAAGATAGCCCTCTTTCAATTGTTAGTTCCGAGATTTAGTATTTCAAATGCCCTTCATCTGAGGCACATTGATGAGATTGGTGGCCATGATCCTCTTGATTTTGCTAGTTTCAAACACAGTGGAGTTTAACTCATCAATTTTCTCCTCTTGTCCCTTGTCCTGAAGGTGGTGACTTCATTCTGGGGCTCGTGCCCTGTTCTTGTGTCTCATCTATGTAGCTATCATTCATTTCAAGCTGTCTGCTGTTCAGTCTTGCTGCCTGGCACTTCCACATCCCAAAGCGATGCAGAAACTGACGAGCACACAAACAAAATTTTGCTATTTAATTCAGATGTGCAAACTTGAGCTTTCAGTGGTTTGTTGTCTTAATTCTTAGCCCACTCCCAAGACAACCTATGCTCAGTCTTCTATACTGTGCCAAAGCAGCCCAAGACAAGCTGTGAGAACGGCATACACTGAGAACTTTATAACCTTCAGCTTCAATATGAAGATCTAGTTTATATCATTAGCACTGTTTCCATTTTCTCAGATTGATTGTGTTGATAATGGTTCTGCTGTAAAAACTTGCATCATTGCAAACCCTCATACTTTGTTTCTTTACTTGCCTCTTTTGCCTCGCACCATAATCCCTTTTGCTATTCTAATCAGTGTGCCCTCCACCTTTCCCCAGAATTTCCCGTTAATTTTTCTACCAGTCCTCTTCAATCTCAATCCCTGTTGCTGGCTCTGGAATTGCTCAAAAATCCTAGTTAAATCACTCACGTTTTCCAGGTCTGATGAAAGGTTACCTGCCTGAAATTTTGTTTTAATTGTTCCACCACTGTTGCCCAACCTGCTGAATGATCCCAAGACTTTGAGCTGAATTGAGGGAGTCAGGGCCTTTTTAAAAACAAACTCTTTCGTGCATCAGCAAGTTTCAGATTACCCCAAGAAAGAAAAGATGAACCTGATTTGAACCAAACTAAAGTGATCTTAAAACAGATTGGAAATTCACAACAGCGTGACAATGATTGAATGCAAGTGGAAGTGTTACAAGCGCATTATAGGCGTTAACTGGAAATATTTGGAGGAGACCAACAGATGAATATTTGGGAATGTCCTAGCATTTGAAATGTGTTGGATCTAATACTCTTGAAAGTTCCAAGTAGGGTTTTGGCATGGCCTACCACCAACAGCTGCTCTTCCATTTCCTCACAGAATACCAATAGTCATCAGTATTATCATAACAATGCTCTTACCAGAAGAGTGACTTCTTCTGCATCACTTCCTTCAGTCGTTTCCTTGATGTATCATCCAGGCTACTGAAGTCATACTTGGGACTGAATTCTGCTGGAGGAGGAGTTATGAACTTGACATCAAACGCAGAAGAAGGAAAGTCAATCTAGAGATAAAGAGAGGAAAGGAGCCCCTTACAAAATGACAAAACATTTCTTTTCCTCATACTAGAAAAGTGATGAAGCAATGAATCTCTCTCATTAGCTCAATTCGAGTCAGAGTCAAATTGCTGCAAAATACAGAAATTTATGAGCTGGAAACAACCAAGTAAATACCTCCATTCTTATACAGCACAATATGAATGGTGCCTTAATATAAAAGCATCTGTTCAATGGCCTTATGTGAAGTGGATAATGGTCCAATGTGACTTGACATACAGCTGGTGGCAAAACAAGGCTTCAATTATCATTCTCCTCACCGTACTGACTGCTGTATTTGCTTGCACAACAACAATGGCTGCACTTTAAAAGTCATTCGTTAGCTGTGAGATGTGTTGGGATGCCTTGAGAAAACAACAAAGTGCTTTTCAAACGCAAGCTTATAAAAACGCTACTTGGTATCCATTATTACAAGGTTTTGAACAGAAAAAGCAAGAAATTCTTTGTCATGAAGCACCTTATTAAATTCTTTCTAAATACCTAGTGTTCAAAATTATCAAGGATTTTGATCGCACTTTTCTGTATCTATTCTATCAGCATTAGCAGGTCGGGTGGTAACCAGAGGGCATGGATTTGAGATAATTAAGGAACCAGCTGGGATATGAGGAAATAATTCATTATGCAGCAAGCAGTTAAGATCTAAAACGCACAGCCTGAAAGAGTGGCAAGGTGGATTCAAGAGTAACTTTGTAAAGGGAATTGGATATGTATTTGAAAAGAAAAAATTTGAAGGGCAAGTGCAGGGGCATGAGACTAGTGGAAGACTCCTTCACAGATACAATGAGCCAAAATGTCCAACAGCCCCCCAACCCCTTCCCACTTTTGTGCATAAATGTGCTACATTTGATCACCACTGCTTTATTTGAAGAATTATTTTGGATTTGGAAAAATTCTGTATCTCTGATGCTCACTGGATCATAAATACAGGGAATAAATCCATGTCGGTGTGTAATACTCAAAAGTATTTTCAAACTCTTTCTTGTCTATCGATACTGGCATATTCCGCTCTGCCCCCCACCCCCCAAACCCTGGCTAATCAATTGATGACTTCTAGGGCTGTACACCTGGTCTTGAAGATTTCCAATATTTTTTCTCATTCCTATTTCCAGTTTGGCTAAGATTACTTTTCCCCATATTTCCTTAAAGGATTTAGTTTAAAAAAAACAGAACACCGGCTTCTGATTTGTGAATTGGGATAACGCATGGGATATTCTGTTTCCTTCAGCAGACATCATTCATTTCATAACTCAGGGTGGAATCTTTTTCTTGTTTTCGCTTCAAATCTGAAAATGGGAAGATTTTAGAGGAGAACAGCCTGCTGCCTACCTTTTCAGAAAGCCCAGCAGATGGTATGCCGATTTGGCATCTGACTCCCTGCCAGCAGGCTGTCTGCTGGAATTATGGAAGCAGAACAGGAATTCCCAACTGATGCCAGAGACCAACATCTCCAGAACTTGGATGAAACACAAAGCTAAGGACCTAGGCAGCTGAAGGCCAACCATGAATGGTGGTGCAATTAAAATTGGGAATGTTCATGATTTAAGAATAAAAACAGCTATTGTAAAGGAGGCTAATTGCTAGATGCAAGAAAACAATTACTGATCTCCAATGACCACGAACTCTCCTGGGTTAAATCGTTCTCTGCTCTCAGTTTGCCAAAACACCACACAACAGGTCTCTGTAATTTGCTCAAGATTATGTATCAGGTTCCCGATTACAATCTAATGCATAAAACATGTGTGTCTGTAGAGTGAAGGTGAAAACAGGGTTTGGCTCAGCTGTGGTTATCTCCCATAGCCTGCCAATGCTCACTGCTCATGCACATGCATATTTAGGTAGAATGGCTTCCAGAGTGAGTCCTGGAAGCATCATATTTCCCACGGGGCTGTATACATTCTCACTTGTTAACTTCAGAGAGAGAGAGAGAGAGAGAGAATGGCAGAAATTAAAAAATAAAAAGGTGAACTTCCTGAGCTATATATCCTAACAAGAACATTACTTAAATAAATACGTGGCAGCATTTTGGACGAATTATTTAGATGATTTCTCTGTAATTTTAGTGGCTTGGGTATGTTCAAACAAAACAGTATTTTGCATTATTTCCTCAATGTGTTTGATATGCACACTCTAAACAGAAATATGTGGAAAGTGAGAATAGCTTTGCATGAAGATCCTTGTCACATTCCAGGCCATCCGCACAGAACAGGTGAAGCTCTATTGCTGCACATACTGAACTCCACTTGCAGGAACTTCAATTATTGTCCCTGGGTCTCCTTGGGTATTGGGCATCTGTTATGCTCTCTTGGAGACGGTTTTGCTAGACTGCTACTGCTCTGATTCCCTATCTTATCCTTAACCCTCTCACTCCCAGTAATCCTGTAAACCCTTCATTTACACGACAATGTACAGTATACTGAATACAGCTCTCTGGTACAGTGTCTCCAGTCTGTGCCTCTTTGACTCTAGACCACATGCTTCATTCCACTCTGCTAATGTCAGAGGACCATCATTTATAACATCATCATTAATGTATTCATATCCCAGTCTGCATTTTGCTCACAGTGAGAACTCTTTCAATACAGCTGCTTCAGGTTCTTACACTTCAGGCTCTTGAGTTGCCAACCAAGTTCTTTTTGTTCAAGCCCTTAATTTGATCAAGTTTAGC